GAAAAATGTTTCGGCGGCAGCTTTGTCAACGTGCCCTTTTGTAGTGTCAGAGGTAATTCAGCCTTGTGATCGAAAAACGGCGGGAGACTGCAGTATTATTTACACGGAAAATTCGAATTAATAATTTTTCCGCCAAATATACGCATAGTGCGTTCTTGGTCGTGTTCAAATTATAGCAATTAATTTAATTTACACAAAGTATCGGTCGATCGGGATAAACGTTTACTTTTCGAATGATCTGCAAATAAATCCCTTTAAATTAAAACATATTTAAATATCGGCCTAATAACCATCAAACCCAGCTATATTACATAAAAGTAAATTTGTTTTTAATTAGCTATACTGTGTACATATGCCAGCGAATTATTTCGAATGCGATCCTGTAAAAATCGTAATAATCTGTTCAATACAATAATACAAACAGCATTCGTTATTAAATACTACACTAATGAGGTTCTCATTACTCAAATCGTATTGAATGTCATCTATTTTCCCCCTTCAGTTCAGGCTCAATTATCCGTTCGCATTAAATTATTACTGAAATTTGTAGCTTTGCTTCAACATGAATAAGTTTTTGTATTATAATAATCAACTCGGTATGTATATTAAACATTGATTAGGAAAATTCGTGATTACACATACCATGTTGTAGATACAGTTGGTGCAAAACCAATATCAATCCACGTCTCCTACTCGTCATACTTGCCAAGCATTGTACCCAACTTTTAAAAATGAATACACAGAATAGATTAAGCTTAATTCCTGCAGAATTTAATTTAATATTAACAAGGGATAATAGATAATGTTAAAAAGCAGAATTAAATGATCCAAAAAAATTGTCAAAATTCAAAATTATTATTATTTTCTTCTAGTAGGTTGGTAGGCATTGACTGTCAAGTCGCATAGTTGCCGTTGTCATCCGATCGGTACTTTTAATTTTCAATTTCTTCTTCTATTTTCTAGTTTAGGTACTAGCCTCAACTACTAAAGGCTGTATTCAGCCTAATAATCAAGAAATAAGATTCCACATGTTAAAAATGACACAATTTGAGCTCTAAATAATTCACATTCAAAAGTTTTCACAGAAATTTTACTATGTACTCTTTTAAGGGTCTATTGTAGATACACTAAATTTTTTATTCGCACTGTTAAATATATTTTAGATGATATAGGAATTTGATGATTAATTATAGTGAGCCCCTGAATACATTCGCCGTTTAGAAACGTGAAACAGGTATCCTAAATTTTCAATTTGTTCTTGTCATTTTGCCATTTGACAATTTAGGAAAATTCTTAGATTTTGTAAACTCTATAACAGTTCGGCAACACTGCCTACTTGTGACGTTGTAAATCATAGGTGACGGGCATATTTGTTTTGCACCGTTTTGCACCATTTTGTAGTTTTGAAGTTAATTAAGAGAATTATATTTCATTATAATGTTTAAATTGCTGTTAAATTTGAATTAAAAAAAGGGTTTTGATTATGTGTATATTTTACATAAAATTCAAAATAACTTTGTATTTATAACAGGTAACTCACAACACATTAAACATTAGTAACATGATAATTTTAAAATAAATAACAGCTTGTTTTGTTTCGAACCTTTTTTTATTTATTTAATGAACGTGGGGTTAAAATAAAATGCAATAATTCGTGTTTCGTAAAAAAATACCGAGAAGTTATATTGTTTTATATATGAAGTGCATCGTAAAATACGAATAAACCATTTCCATTGACCGTTTTCTTAGGTAATTTATTAATCCACATAAAAAATACGAGCCGTTTCATTTAAGTGTCGTTATACTTTTCGTGTCACTAATAACTAAACTTCATTCGAAGCTCACAAAGAGAAATTTATGGTTAGTAACACGAAAGTGTGAAAGTTCCGGAAGTTATTTTTAATTTATTGTACACTTACACCGGCATTACTCTAGAAAAACGGCTTTTTGATGGTCTTTCCTTAAGTTTCGATATCTTTTTACAAACTCTTAAAGTCAGTTTTAAAAACGCGAGATTACAGATAAAGATAAAGGTATTTATGGAAAATCTACGATTTGGTACTCGCGGCATTCGAGAGGAATGTCCCGAGAAAAACGCGTACTTAAGGATGACATTCCCGCGAATTGTCCGACAATAATATGACATAAGTGACAATGGATTAATCTTGGAATGTGTTGGGAACAGAATACGCGGCCTCACCAAGGGAATTCCAGTCTCGTTTCAATTAAGGTGTGTCGCTATCTCACTTTCACACTTCCCCCGTCCTCATTACTCGCTCTTTGACGGATCCCGGAGTTTTAACGAGCCATTCACTATTTCCGGGGAGGTCTAGTGATTCGATTTCTGCCATTCAATATATCTGAAATCTTATTTAATTTTTTTTAACCGCAACATATCAAAAAAGTTTAACGCGCCGAACGAGCGGTGTTTAGCGCTTTTGGCTCGAAATATATTTTTGCTAATTGTTTTATTTAAAACCCGTTGCGATGTAGTGAGAATTCCCAATTGGTAACGGGCCGTGGAATAATTTATTCGTCATACGCGTGTATCGATTTGTTTGTAATTACGTTGATTATTAATTAGTTTATCAGAAAATTTAGAGCTAGATCGTAAATCGAAATAACTTTGGAACCATTCATTCGACCGCTATATTTCATTATCTGCTTCATATGCAATCGGCATTGCGCATCATTTAACATATCGCCAATTTGGGCCTGAGGTAGGAGGCTTAACTTTTTCATTGTTTGCCGGTATGATTTACAAGCGGGTTATGTTCGAAATGAAAAAGCTACTAGCCCGGATTGCGATGTATATACCGAAAATGATTTAAAATTTTGTCCTACATCGAGCAAAGCGCAGTCAGAAAATGCTTCATTCACAATTCGATGAGTTTTAATTGGAATGCAACGGGGTTTTTATGTTGCAACGTTACTATTGTTATTGTTTCGCTAAAAGAATTGTTTGATATATGTTTCTCGTGTATTTCGCTGGAATGCTTTGATGTATACCGATTTTGGAAAAGCCCCAAAAAATCTGCGCTATAAGCAATTTAATTTTTTAGTGGATGTTCAATGGACGATTCAATTTCGAAATAATTCCCTTTTCATTTTCTCGTAATTCAATATTTGTCATTAAGTTCAATTGTTCCAAATTTACTTTGTAAACAAATAAAAATAAAAATAGAACTGGAGAGAGGAGACGAAAAGAAAATCTCATTTAAGCCGTCCCTCTGTAATACTCAAACAAAAACGTCCATCAACAAAACGAAATTGTGTCTTACATTTGTCCCAGGGTATTAAGAAGTTAGTCTTTTCTTTTCTATAGTTTAATCGTTTAAAAGGAGAAAAATAATAAAACTTCCAATTAGGGGCTTACGCCGTATCTATCTGACCGAGCGACGAGAAAATGTAATGAATTGTTCAGAGGCAGTAGTGATTTTTTTCCTTTATTAGGTACGCTTTAATATTTTAATAATCCACTTAATGGTGCAATTTGTTCATCTAAGAGTCTTATTAACTAAACCAATAATATAGTTTACTACTTAAAACTCCATTTATCTATTTAAGATTTATTTTCGTAACAGTCTTGTATTTAGAAGAGTTATTTACCCACTTAAGGAAGACATTTATCTTTCCGAAAGACTTAATTACCCTATTTTTTTGTATAACAGAAATTTATTTATTCTAGTAAGTGAACTTACCAAGAGAGTTAATCAAATCAGTTAAGAGAATCAGATAAGAAACTCGGTTAAAGGAGTTTATAAAAAAGAATTGCTTAAGTGAGTAGACTAAAAGAGTCAATAAGAAAGTCTATTAAATAGAAGAGTCTGATGTCAAAGAATTTCTGTCAAAAAGAGTCTGTCAAAGAGAGTCTATCGAAGAGAGTGTGTTAAAAAAAGTCTGTCAAAGAGTTTGTGAAAGAGACGAGTCTATCAAAGCGAGTCTGCCAAAAAGAGTCTGTCGAAGAGAGTAGCTTGACAAAGAGAGGAGTCTGTCAAAGAGAGTAATTTGTCAAAGAGAGGAATTTGTCAAAGAGAGGAGTCTATTAAAGAGAAGAGTTTGTCAAAGAGTTGAGTCTGTCAAAGAGAGAAGTCTGTTAAAAGAGTAATTTGTCCAAGAGAAGTCTGTTAAAGAGAGGAGTTTGTCAAAGAGTGGAATCTGTCAAAGAGAGGAGTCTGTCAAAGAGAGGAGTCTGTCAAAGAGAGGAGTTTCTCAAAGAGAGTCTCTTAACTACCTAAGGGAGTGAATTATTTTGCTAAAGAGAACAATATTTTAAATAAATTTAATAATGAATTAAATAAATGAAGAAGAGAAGATCGAATAAAGGGATATCAAAAAGTAGGTATAAATAAAAATTTAAATCGAAAGTTCCTCTGGCCATTTTCTGTGGACCTTTTTTTGCACTTACTTAGGCATCCTGCAAGACAAAAAAAATTAATAATAGCGAAAATTTACGTCCGCTGCGCTAATGTATCGTAGAGATGAGTCGAGTAAGCCCTCGTTACGAACTCTTCTGAAAATTTAAAATTATTCGACTTTATAGAATTCGTTTTGAAGTTTCGCAATTAGTCGGACAACTTCAAAGAAACGATTTTTCGTTCAAGCGGGGCGTCTACGTTTAAATTAAGCTCAAGAAAATGACGAATTTACCTAAACAAACTTTTGCAATTTCCTATTTAGGTAGATAGGTACATATAAAAAAATACAACTCTAAATTTTACACTAATTGGCGTTGCAAGTTTATTTTATGGTGAAGTTACCTAAAAATCATTCAGTGCGTTATTAGTTGAAAAAATGGCGCGACACCGAACAAACCACCCCTGTCGATAATATATATGATAAAACAGCCGAAATCGCAATAATTTATTAGCATGTGAGATTTCAAGTGCGCGCAAACGACGCGACGAGCAGCAGGTAGTAGGACGCGGGGCGTCGGCGCGCGAACTTGCGCCGTGACGCCAGCGTCGTTCGATAGCGGCACAGTTGTTAGTGCCGCACAACCTGTCCCGGCGATTCGTCTGGTTGCCCAGCTGATCCAGAAACTGGAGAACACGCGATCAAAACACAGAGAAACCACAGGACGAGGCGAGCCGCACGTGCCTGAAGAGGGACCGAGTCGCACCGGCCGAAACGTCGCTTCGCTTCGAGGTTATGTGTCGAGTGCCGGTTAGCCGTTGCGTTCGAACGGTAACGCGGTGAAGGAGGGAGTGTGCAAGGTGATATGTACTAAGTGTTGTTTATTTCGAAGCGACCACGTGTGAGTGGGGTGTCACAGACTGCCTCACAGTGCGTGTGCCAGCGGGGCTTTTGACAAAAGCTGGACATGTGCCGCCCAATGGGGAGGCCACCACCGAGGAAAAAGCCTCCATACCGGTACGTTCTTAATTTTATTAAAAAAAAAATCCAAAAATATTTAAAATAAATTTAGTTATACATACTCCAGCAAAGAATGCATTTGCATGATTCCACAGGATATCCTAACAGGAAAATCAAAATTATTTGTTTTTCTTTTTTTTTTGTGTAAAATAACCTTTTATTGTTTAGCATTTACTAAACGAGATTCGTATGAAAACCGTATTTATAGTTGCGTTAGATGTAAGTTTATATTTGAGCGACTGTCTGTTTATTTGAATGTTATATTTGTTTTTCTTGAAAATTTATTTCGCGCCACGTGCTTCAAGCGTTAAAAATTAAGTAAGGAACATTTAGTGAGTTCCTTATGAAATTCAACTACTGGCAATTTTTGTGAATATCTGTTATTACCTAAATACAAGGTAAATATTGCAACCTACTTCGGAAGGTGAAAGTGATCTAATAGGTAATTATTAATAAAAAGTTCTTATACAGATGCTTTTAAAGATTTGTCATGTTTTAGATATATCGGTTGCTTCAATTCAGACCGCAACATGGTCGTTTCTATGAGTTGAACAAAGACAGATTAATAAAATAACAGTTGTCAGAGTGAAAAGTTGCAATGACACAAATGTCACTCTTTCTTTTTCCTTTATAAGTGTCTAATGGAAGTTGTGTTTATCGCACCCATCGCCTATATAACCTATGTTGCGATCAAAAATGGAGCAACCTGTAGACCAGTAAAGAGAAATATTTTTTTCGTTTTTTTATTCAAAATAGCTAAAATCTTGGAGCTACATACATTTGATTTAGTTGACTTTCAACTTATTATTTATAAAGAATATTTATAAACATACAGGTTGCTCCATTTTTGATTGCATATAGTTTATATAGGTCATGGGTGCAATAAAGGCAACTTCCATTAGACACTTGAAAAAGAAAGAGTGACATTGTGTCATTGCAACTTTTCACTCTGACAACTGTCATTATAATAATCTTTCTTTGTTCCACTCCTAGAAATGACCATATTGCAATCGGAAATGGAGCAAGGTGCATATGTTAATTATAAGATAAAGGGGCTATGTGTAGTAATATCTCTGTAACTTCTACGCCACTGACATAAAATGAAAGGGTATGTTTGTTAGTAGAATTACTCTTTCACCTCCCGAAGCTTGTTGCAATATTTGCGGGACACCCTATGTAAGTCAGTCAATTGTTTCTTTAACCAAGTATTCTTTCATACGTTAAAATACTTTAAAGTTACTGAATTAAATCTGAGTACTTTGAGATTTTTTAAATCTCAAAATAGTTCCTATTAATTATTCAAAGGATAAATAATAAATTCTAACCGAAATGTAATCATCTATCTACTAATTACCAAGTAAGTTTTCGTAATAAGGTTACGAAGTAGCATTAGCTTTAATTAAAGTCCTCAGCTAATTGCTAGTTATTAAAACCTTTTGAGATCCACTATGTTTTAAATGAAAATATGCACCAAAAATTAGTAATATGTAGGTATGCACATATGTAACAGGACGATTTTGTGAAATATTCAAGGAATCAAGAATGCATATAATTATTTAAAGGAATTCCGGCATATTTTCCTTTGATGTAGGTTTAATCTAGTACGACTCCGCTTTCCTGCTTAATGGAAACTTGCGAGGCATTATTGCTAGAGTTGCCACATCAGCATCATATACAGACTGGAATCAAATGATAATACATAATCTCGCTTTCCTCCCAAAGAGGGTAAACTCCCCATACATACCGGCAGTACAAAATACCTGTAGTCATCTACAATGAAGGTTGCCTATAGTAAAAAGTTTTATACTTTTATCTCGAACGCTTCGAAAGCTCGATGTTATATAACTTGATGCAATAGCTTCATTCGAATGTTAAGGAATTATTTAACTAAATATAAGAACTATTATTAGCTAAAAAATTATAATTTGGGAGAATAAGTATGTACCATTCGGTTACGTTTAATGAGTAGGCAATCCATTTCCTATAAATTTTATTTTTGCTCCATCTAGAATTCCTTCTATACCTACATGCTAGCTGCCTTCGGTCTGATACTCGTTATATGAGATTTTAAAGTTATAATTAGACGCAAATGTTCATGATGTGTTTCGCTTGCGCCACACAAAATAATAAAATAGCACGACAGCACGCCGCTCCATTTCATAGTCAAAAGATCAGCGGCGTTTCCGCGGATTCTCCATGGAAAAGTTTTAATGCCCATCAAGCTTTCTGGTTACGAGTATCCCATTTTTCCCGAACTCGACTGAGCTATAAAACTGTTTTAATTAAATTTATTTCTGCTATAAATAGAAGCATGAAGGTATACGAACTTACCTACCAATTTTGTTGATGGAGATGCATCTTTCAAACACACAAACGCATTCATACCCATAAATATTAACCTATATCTACATTCGAAATTCATGAGGCGAGCTTAGTTTCAGTTAGAGCGTTAATTAATTTTATGTTAGTTTTGTAATATTAATTAAAATGAATGTTGTTTCATTCGAATTGCTTGCTCTACATGATTTTTTTGTTGTTGTTTCATTAGTGGATTATTTGTTATATCTTCACATCCACTTGGAACTTTATATGAAGATTAGGTATAAAACTTTAAAGGCGTATAGTAGAATTAAATTGGAATCAAATCTATCTACTTTGGGTATCACTTTCAACCAATTTTAAGTCGAACAAATATTTTGAGCCGAAGTAATCTTGCTCGGAAATTATATTTACAAAGTTTCTGTGGAACTATCGAGCCGTTGAGCCGCCCGTAAAACCTGATTGCGATGGAATTTATTGCAACGGAAATAAATTTCCGAAACTGGTATTTAACTTTCCTTACCGAAGATTTAAAAGAGCTCATCCTAAATTTTACTTCGGGAAATTGGCGGTTTATGTTCATTTAGTTATTGTGGATGGGTTAAAACTCGATTTCTATCTATACTCGATTATAATTGTTTATCTTTAAGCTGTTTGAAATATGTTTTGTTTTAATAGATTTGATTAAATGTGTTTCCAGCAAATTTTTAGCTTTTAGTTTTTCATCAATGAAGCCAATAAAAGCAAAACGAGAGGTTCTTCATAAATCTTCTCGGGTTTATATTAAAAATTTAATAATCATGTCAAAATCATGCCCGGCATTTTTAATGCTGAAATATTGCTGTATCAACGTACCTTGGCGTACATAATCTTGAGATGTTATTAAAATAATATATCACGATTCGCCGTGCGGACCTATTTTTCCAGAAAAGTATACATACTTTTTGCAGGTACATTTTTTGTTGAATAACATTGCGTCTCGTCGTCAAAATTGCGTTTTTACTTGTGTATTTCTCTTAATTAAATATTCCGACACGTTTTACTTTTTTCTCTCATTTAATTCACCTTGGGGCTCTGCTTATACCCTTTTATTAATCTTAAAACTTCCCCCTATTTTTGAATTAAACCACTCGAGATCGAAGTTAGAGATGACACAATATAATAATGGGAACGAGGACCCTTTTAATTCTAGCATATTTACTCCCTTAATTCCCATTTTTAACTTTTTCTATCTCTGAAATAGGAACTAACTAACAGCACACACAAATCGCCTTTCTGTTCAATGTCGTTCATTTTCAACCGGGTTGAATAATTCAACGTCGATTTATTACTGACCAATCAATCAATACACATTAGCCGGTGTTCCTTTTAACTCGCCGGGCACACAAAGTTAGAAAGTCACGTAAAAGCCATGAATTTTCCAAAGTCCATTCGCGGCCGAAACGAAATTAAAACTTCTTTTGCAAGTTAAATATTCATCGGTATCGTCCCTGATGTGCAAGTTGCAAGTTGCGGGCAGATTTGATTAAATTTAAAAGGCCATATAGTGAACGGAAACCCGGCAAACAGAGAATCTCGAAACAATGTGATGATTTAGCAAAGAAATGCAAAACTCCCGAAAACGTCAATAATGAGTAAGCGAGGAAGCTAATAGCGCTCCCTGACTATATACATTTCGACTTCGAAATAGGAGAACTAATGGTAGAAGTTTCCTCCGGGCTGTCAAAGAAAATTAACGACAGTTATTTTATTGGATATTTGTGAGGCGTTAAAAACAACATAAATTACCGTCGTTCCTAGGAAAATATTTTAAAAATACGGACCTATGCAGTTGTTTTTTTGTTAATGCATGTTCATGAATAATCTACTTTAAATCTACTTTAAATAACAGGAAAATATCAATCGATTCCGATTTTACGAAAAGTTCGGAAATAATATGCTTTACAAAGGGAGCAAATTGTTTTCAAGCTTTTAAATAAGTTATGAAAAAACCAAGTTCACGACGTTTCGAAAAACACAAATTTTCCGAACGCCTATTATACGAGAATCGATTAAAACGGGAATCCTTTATAAAAAACATTGAAAAGTAATTTCAGAAATTAATAAGGCATTTCTTTTACTGCCTCTGCAAAAAGAGACTCTGTCTCGGAGTAAAGTTTAAAATTCATTAAAAAGCTTTCAGCTTTCAAATTTGCAGACAAAGTTTGCGTGAAATTTTAATTGTACCGTTTCTTTTAATGAAAAACGTTTTAAAGATAATTATTCTAATGTGAAATTATAAGTAAGCAAAAGTTTTAATGCCGAGGAAGTTCGCCTCCAATCTGCTACTACTCCTTTAAAAAGTAGTATGCATCCCTCTAACAAGTAAACAACTTAATAAGTAATTCGGGAGAATTATTCTGCCGAGTTTTCCTAAAATATACGGTCGGAGTAGGTGAAGGGTGGATTCTTAAATTAATTTTATAATCTACTAATTTTGTAAACCTGTCTTCTAGAAACTAAATAGAATTTTCTATTAGAATAGAACTTTATTCCAACATACTTGGTGTTCAATGAAGCTTTAATACGAAAAGGATAATTCGCTAATATATCCGAGCCAATAAGGCATTGATCGCAGGTCGCCGGTTAATGAATTTCCTTCGATTGTCTGTCAGTCGTGAGAATTTTCCAACACAAGC